AGTTTCTGTGATATGACTGCCCTTGCACTGTTCACCATGTAAGAACTTATTCACTATGTAAGAACTTGTTCACCATGTAAGAACTTGTTCGTTATGCTTCAGAAGATTGGAGACTGTTGAGAATTAGGCTTGGGGTTGATTAATGATTGTGCACTGAGTCCCCTATACAGAATTTTATTGTTGTTAACAACCATTTGATCAATAAATATGAGAGATGCCCTCTCAAAAAAGAAAAAAAAGATTAATGTGAAAGAGGCTGTTTATTTTCTCCCAGTGATTATGCATAAAAATTACATTCCCTCACCAAGAGCCTAGCCCAGAAATGTGGTACCTCTTAAGAGTGTCATTGCTGAGAAGAGTAGAGCCACCATCACTCCTGTTGCCAAGGTTATGGCTTCTGGACCAGGGGACTGCCTGACGCTTGAAGCCTCCTTATTCCCTGATCCATTCTCTGTTTGCTGGAATGCTGGCGAGCACATAGTTTTCCACAGTATTCCATGATCCTTCTGGAGATTCTTAATGACCCTAGTGTTGATTAGGACCTGATGTCTTGGGCAGGGGGAAAGTTAAAACAATTTTCAAGGTTCATGTAGGTGGTCATCCTGATAATTTGACTTGAGGATCATCCATCCTCTTCCGTCTGCAGAGGGTTTGCAATGTTGGCCTGAGAGTTCAGAGCAAATTCCTGGCCCGCGACTGGGAAACAAAAAGAACAGTACAACATGCGTATGTTGGGCGACCTCATTCATGAATTCACCTTCTTTTTCCCAGCCTTATCTTTCCTTCCTAAATTTTCTTTTTAATTAGTCTTGCATTGTATGTGTCTTTTAAAAGTGCCTTAGATCCTTTTGAAGCAGGGCTAGATATAAATAAAGTATAAGTATATTCCTCAGATATCCACTAGATTCTTGCTTATAGGATGAAAGAAAAAAAGTACAAAGGGTTTTCTGGCCAGGAAAGGAAAATTGCATAGTGCAACACATGTAGAACATATTTTGTGTAAAAATCATATGGAATAATTTAAATGTATATTTGATGTTGAAGAAAAAAATATATATGTGGTGCCTCAGCAGCAAATACACTAAAATTGGAACAATACAGAGAAAATTAGCATGACCCCTGCTCAAGGATGACATGCAAATTCATGAAGTGTTCCATATTTGTAGATGTTGGTCAAAGGGAACAAACGTCCAGCTATAAGATAAATAAGATCTGGGGATGTAATGTGCAGCATGGTAACTATAATTCACAATACTGTATTATATACTTGAAAATTTTTAAGAGAGTAGATCTTAACTGTTATCACCACATACACACACAAAATCATAATTATGTGAAGGGATAGAGATGTCAACTAACTTTATTGTGGTAAATAATCACTTTGCAATACATACATGTATCTCTATATCACATTGTACACTTTAACCTTACATACGTTATATGTCAGTAATAGCTCAATCAATGCACTGGGCACCATTGTTTGTACACAGGCCTTCATTGTGTCGAGAAGTACCTCTGTTTGAAATGAATGAGGCAGACAACAGTGCTGGGGCAATTATCTCAACACAGAGGGGAAAAAAAACCATATACGTATATGATTGGATTCAAGAAAACTGGAATTTCTGGTGCAAGGGAGGGGTAAGGATATGACACTCCTAACCTCAGGAAGCCCCTTAATAATTAGGGGCCTGCTACATGATGTCACTCACATAAGAAATTTAGGCAGTCCCTTCAAAAGCCTAGGGTGGGCCATGAGGACATGCCATACCCTTAGGGAAGTGCCTAGTGCATCCTGGGAATCCCAGTTTCTTGCGCACAATAAAAGCTTTACAAATATCTGCTGAATAAATGGAGAAGAAAAGGTTAACAAAAAAGAAACCATTAGTTTGTGTGTGCTAAATACGTTCACAGCTAATCAAATTAATCTGTGTAGAACTGATTTAGCAGCACCCAGGAAAGTGGATGCTATAAAGGCTTTAGTTCTTTTAATCCTCTCCACGACACTGAAGTAAATGTTTTTATCTTCTCTTTTTTTTCAGATGATGATAAGGAAGGGTAACTAATCTGTGCAAGACTACTTAACTAGTAAGTGAAGGACCCAGGAGTAAGTCCAGATCTGTCTGATTCTAAAGCCAAACTATTGCCTCAGTCGACTCCAGTATTTCCCAAGCTTTTCCCTGTTAAGAACACACATCTGAGGCCCTATCCATATGCACTGAACCAGAATCTCCTGGGAGGGACTTGGGAACTTAGGTCCAACAAGAGATGAGATGATTATTATTATCAGAGAAGTTTAAGAAAACCGCTCTGTTGCACCAGGTGGGAAGTGGAGGTATATCTCCCTCTGATCAAATAGAAGCCATCAGAGATTTGAAGTTCATTTAACTAAAAATAAATTGTATTATTCTGGAGTCTATCAGATTATAATGTTACAGGATATTTATTACTCAGTTTGGTGACATAGCATTGTCTGATTTAAGGCTGTCCAGATCCTAAAATAGCAAGAACATTTTAGGAAGTTGAAAGTGGGCTCTAGTTTAAACCTCAGACTTTTTTAGCTTTCCTCTCTGTCCCTCTTAAGTCCTGAGGAGCAGAAGTGAGTAAGAATGCAGCACTAATTCCTACCAGCTTTAACTGATACCAAGGTTCCAGCTGTGCAGGGGCTGGAGGAGACCCACGGCAGAGCATTCGGTCCTCTTGTCTGGCTGCCCACCAGACGGCTTCCATTGGATGGACAAGTGACATGATCCAGGAAGTAGAAAATCCATCATCGCTTGTTTTTCTGTTTCAGTTTTGCCGTGATTGATGAGAAAAGCCGAGGTCAGCTAAGCCTGCAGCTTCAGTACCCGTCATGGAAGCAAACAACTTATTTGTACAACCTAAACACTTAAATAATTAAATGGAAAGCAAGGCAGTGATTCCTGACAGGGCTGAATTTAAGTCAAGCTGTGAAACTCCACACTGCAACAAGAAGGAGAGACGGACAAGTCGAACTGGAAGCAGAGAACACCTAAGGGGCACTGGCCCACCGCTTCTCAGCAATTTTATTGTAAGTTATTCTCATTATCTCAGAGAGAAATTTGAGATATGATTCGAGAAAAGTATGGAGCTGATTATCTCCATTTTGAATATAGATCTTTGTTTTAAGAACTTGCTTTATATGCTATTGCCAAGAATCTTGGTTTTGAATGATTTTTACAGGCATGACATCTGCAGTAGCAAATAATGACAACTACACTTTACAAATATTTAACATGCATTAATGTGCTTCTATTCCAGAATGTTCTTGAGCTCCTTTAACCTTTGCAACAATTCCATGAGGTTGGTACTCTTATTAACATGATTTGCAGATAAGGAAACTAGTAGATTCCTCACAAAGTTACCAACTTGCAGACACAGTCCGCAGTTAGAAGCTGAGAGCCTCTTTCATAGCACTACACTGTCTTCATTCCAAAGGAGCCCATATATTTAGGCCATTCACTTCTTGAAAGACAAATTCCCATATTAGATTAAAATATAGACCCAACAATACATTTGGAGCTTAAAGATGGGTATGCAGAGCAAAAAAATGGCAATGCTAAAAATAAAAAAGCTTTATCAAGGGAATTCATACAAGAAAAAGAAAACAGTTGGTCAAATTGATCCCATGTAAAAGAAATTTTTGCAGGCAAAAAGGCAAAAAGGTGGAAGGAGAGTACAGGCAGTTTCCTGATTATAATGAAAAATATAAAAATCAACAGTGAAGAAGACATGCATTACCAAAGTTAGAAATGCAAAAAGAAATAGAATAAATTAAAAAAAATCTATTGTAACAGGGATTGTTAATTCATTGTCTGGCTAAGACAAAAATTAGACAATCTCAAAAATTACATAAACAAATTTAAATAGCCAAAAATTTAGAGGACATTAAAGATGTGACAAAAATAGATACATATTTGAAAAAGAACATAGAAGTTATGAATACTATACAATTAACATGTTAGAACCAGAGGACATATTGAACCCAATAACAACATAGACTATATATTTTTTTCAATGTATAGGGTATTGGTAAATATATGCTAGCTCTCAAATAAGTTCCCAAAAATGAATCAAAAGGAAAATAGATATGTTTTTTAAATATGTTTTTTCAACAAAAGGCAATGAAACTAAATGTTGATGTAAGTAAAAAAAATGAAAAATACAGTGATTGAATCTATGACAGACAATCCAGTGTTTGGATTATAACCCCACTCTTATTGCTGTGTGCCCTAGGCAATTTACTGAACCTTTCAAAATTCTCTAAAGAAGTCTTCTTTAAAAACATGGGTCTATTTTGCAAAGTTGTGAATATTAGCTCTAAAGTATGTAGAGTAATACTAAGACTTAAAGCAAGGGTAAAACCCTACATCATACCATATGTTGCCATATTTTTAATGTACTCATATTATATTTAGCTAGAAAAATAGGTCAGAATTTCTGTTAATTGGAAGCAAAAGTCTAGAAAATACACATTTAAATAGTAGTTATCTCTATGCCCTGAGAGTTCTGGCAGTTTTGGTTATTCTGCTTTACTTTTCTACTATGACTATGCAGTAAGTGCACAATAAATAATAAATATGAACTTCTTTAGAGCAGAGCACAAGAAGAAAATAAATATTAATATATTGTGTGCCCTATAGGTGGTGGTTGCCATAAACATGCATCCATTTCAGTTGTTACCACTGTCATCATTCTTTTTGTAATTCTAAAATACTCTGAATCTCTCTATATATGCACACACGCACACACACATATCAATACACAGTCTATATACAATATATATTATAAATAAAATAAAATATCAATTTCAAATTTAAATATAAATTAATTATAAATTAAATTTAGATAACATACATTTATTTGCTTAAATATGTATTATATAATATGTGCTACAGTGCATATATATATTATAGATATAAACACAATATTGGGAAAACAGACAATTTGAATATGGACTATGGAATTGGATAATCGTACTATATCAATATGAAGTTGACTAATTTTCTTAACTGTTAAGTTCCTTGATTTTTATAAGAAAGAAC